CATTATATAGTGTATTCCACCAGATGACGTCACTACATATTTATTCCCTATGGGTGCAAATGCACCTTATTTTAGGCAATAGGCAATGTTTAATAGGTGGCCATTTTTGGTCTCTAACGCGCTAAGTGGGATTTTTTGCAAAGTGGGACTGTGATAATCCAAATCTAAAGTTTTCTCTTTGCATTTAGTTTATTGAAAATAATTGAACTTTTGTGTTTTTTCCTCTTATACAAATCGATGGTTTCGCAAACAAAACTGGTAATTAAAGGGTTAAAATCCTGAAATTGAATACATTTTTGGTAGTTATGATGAGGACTGATGCTGGTTAAAAGATTTAACTTGGTAAAAGTGGAAAATAATAATAATATATAATATTTTAGGCAATGTTTAATATGTGGCCATTTTTGGTCCTTAATGCACTCAACGGTGTTAAAAATCTAATGCAGCACAAGGGTTAAATCCTTGATGACTCTTATCAGGTTTGGGTTGTTCCTGAATCTTCATTCCTGACGGATCTGTGTGTCAGCAACTCATATTTGATCATATTTGTCGTGTCACTGTGAGCTGTGTGTCTTCAGAGGGTCGTGACGAGCTTCTCGTCATTAGTCTCACGCAGCTGTCATTAATTACTGTAATAATTACTGTAATCAGGAGCTCAGGAGCATCAGGCCTCCACAATCCTACTGTAAATTACAGAAGAAACATTAACGCAGGAGGTTTAATGAGCCCGCTAATGTACCATCATGTGTGTGTGATGGAGATAAACCAACATCTATCTATCTGTCACACAGTGTGTGTGTGTGTGTGTGTGCGGTTGCTGGCCTGTTCTTGCTTGTTCTTTTCATCTAATCACCATCTAATTACTCCTGGTTAAACACAACAGTTGTAACTCGTGTTCCTTTGATGTTCATTAGGAGAATCTGCTGAGCAAGATGTGTGTGTGTGTGTGTGTGTGAATAGAGCTAAAGAGCAGAATCAGAAGGACTCGTCTGCGATCTGTGTTTAAGCGTAGCCGGGCGTAACACTCTTCCTCCAGGATTAAACTGAGATGATCCTGTGAGAAATCAAGAGTGTCGTGTTTCATCAGTACAGCATCATCAATATCAATATCTATATCAATATCAATCACAGTGAATATTAGATTCTCACCGTTCCATGAACCTCTTCTGTGACCTTGTGGAGATAATCAGATTCACAGCGCTCACACACTCCTGTCGTCTATCTCTGCACTGCAGGGGAACATTATATCACCAAAGTACTTAGTATATGAAAATAATACACAAAATACCAAACTGTTGCATATTACTGCTGCCATCTTTCTTCTTTTCTTTCTTTATATAGCATATACTGTATATATATATATATATACACACACATATATATATGAAGAGTTCAGATGCAAAAGCCTCTAAGTGCCATTTGAAATCTTCTAGAATGATCATTTTTATCAAGCTTGTATATTCAAGTTCAGTAATTTCACTTAAATGGCGATGACGATTACCTATTAATTGTCATTTAAGTGAAATTAGTGAACTTAAATATATAAGCTTGATAAAAATGGTCATTTTAGAAGAAAATTTCAAATGGCATTTAGAGGCTTTTGCATCTGAACTCTTCATATATACTATATTTTTATTTATTTATTTGTTTATTGTGACAGGAAGGGCAAAGTATGTGTGTGTTGAGCAGACCCTGCAAATGATAGCTTGTTGAATAAGATATTATTCAAATAGAATTTGTCTTTTATGTTTTGTGCTTTCTAATGAAACTGTTTAGATCTAACACATCTAATAGTTTACTGTTTTTTTATTTCATATACATTTTTTCAGTCAATTAATTTTTTATCCCTTAAAACACATCTTTAAAAATTAAACATTTTTCCATTGAAAAAAAAAATCCTGTGTTAAAATATCTTGTTTGTAACTCGACACCCTCTCCTCATTTAGTATGCGCGGTTCTATGAATATGCAAATGAGCCCCGCCTCCACTCACTCACTCAGAGATCCACTGGTTGTCGATCACACGTTGATCTGATTGGTTACAAGGTGGTTTGTGACGTCAGCGTGTTTTTGAGAACCGTGTTCAGTTTTAAGGAGGAAATACTCAGCGATGCTGTCCACTTATCAACTCACACACGGTGTGTGTTAAAGCATATTAAAAACACCACACACATAAACAACATTAAACTCTGGATTTTCTTTAACATTTTCTGTTTCAACTTTAAATTTAAAAATTAAATTTTTTACTTTTTAGTAATTTTTATTACATTTATTGTTATTTATTAGTTTATTATATGTTAGTTCTTGCCTTCAATGTAAAAAACAAACAGAATCTGAAATAGATCGCATCTCATTTAGTAAAAAAACAACCGAAATTGAACTTTTCTTTAGCGCTTTATCGCTGTTAGCTCATGTGGCTTTATCGCTGTTAGCTCATGTGGCTTTAGCGCCGTTAGCTCATGTGGCTTTATCGCCGTTAGCTCATGTGGCTTTAGCGCCGTTAGCTCATGTGGCTTTAGCGCTGTTAGCTCATGTGGCTTTATCGCTGTTAGCTCTTGTGGCTTTAGCGCTGTTAGCTCATGTGGCTTTAGCGCTGTTAGCTCATGTGGCTTTAGCGCTGTTAGCTCGTGTGGCTTTAGCGCTGTTAGCTCTTGTGGCTTTAGCGCTGTTAGCTCATGTGGCTTTAGCGCTGTTAGCTCGTGTGGCTTTAGCGCTGTTAGCTCATGTGGCTTTAGCGCTGTTAGCTCATGTGGCTTTAGCGCTGTTAGCTCATGTGGCTTTAGCACTGTTAGCTCATGTGGCTTTATCGCTGTTAGCTCATGTGGCTTTATCGCTGTTAGCTCATGTGGCTTTAGCGCTGTTAGCTCATGTGGCTTTAGCGCTGTTAGCTCGTGTGGCCTTAGCGCTGTTAGCTCATGTGGCTAACAGCGCTGTTAGCTCATGTGGCTTTAGCGCTGTTAGCTCATGTGGCTTTAGCGCTGTTAGCTCATGTGGCTTTAGCGCTGTTAGCTCATGTGGCTTTAGCGCTGTTAGCTCATGTGGCTTTAGCGCTGTTAGCTCATGTGGCTTTAGCGCTGTTAGCTCATGTGGCTTTAGCGCTGTTAGCTCATGTGGCTTTAGCGCTGTTAGCTCGTGTGGCCTTAGCGCTGTTAGCTCATGTGGCTTTAGCACTGTTAGCTCATGTGGCTTTAGCGCTGTTAGCTCATGTGGCTTTAGCGCTGTTAGCTCGTGTGGCTTTATCGCTGTTAGCTCATGTGGCTTTAGCGCTGTTAGCTCATGTGGCTTTAGCGCTGTTAGCTCGTGTGGCTTTAGCGCTGTTAGCTCATGTGGCTTTAGCGCTGTTAGCTCATGTGGCTTTAGCGCTGTTAGCTCATGTGGCTTTAGCACTGTTAGCTCATGTGGCTTTATCGCTGTTAGCTCATGTGGCTTTATCGCTGTTAGCTCATGTGGCTTTATCGCTGTTAGCTCATGTGGCTTTATCGCTGTTAGCTCATGTGGCTTTAGCGCTGTTAGCTCTTGTGGCTTTAGCGCTGTTAGCTCTTGTGGCTTTAGCGCTGTTAGCTCGTGTGGCCTTAGCGCTGTTAGCTCATGTGGCTTTAGCGCTGTTAGCTCATGTGGCTTTAGCGCTGTTAGCTCATGTGGCTTTATCGCTGTTAGCTCATGTGGCTTTAGCGCTGTTAGCTCATGTGGCTTTAGCGCTGTTAGCTCATGTGGCTTTAGCGCTGTTAGCTCATGTGGCTTTAGCGCTGTTAGCTCATGTGGCTTTAGCGCTGTTAGCTCATGTGGCTTTAGCGCCGTTAGCTCATGTGGCTTTAGCGCCGTTAGCTCATGTGGCTTTAGCGCCGTTAGCTCATGTGGCTTTAGCGCTGTTAACTCATGTGGCTTTAGCGCTGTTAGCTCATGTGGCTTTATCGCTGTTAGCTCATGTGGCTTTAGCGCTGTTAGCTCATGTGGCTTTAGCGCTGTTAGCTCATGTGGCTTTAGCGCTGTTAGCTCATGTGGCTTTAGCACTGTTAGCTCATGTGGCTTTAGCGCTGTTAGCTCATGTGGCTTTATCGCTGTTAGCTCATGTGGCTTTAGCGCTGTTAGCTCATGTGGCTTTAGCGCTGTTAGCTCATGTGGCTTTAGCGCTGTTAGCTCATGTGGCTTTAGCGCTGTTAGCTCATGTGGCTTTAGCGCTGTTAGCTCATGTGGCTTAAGCGCTGTTAGCTCATGTGGCTTTAGCGCTGTTAGCTCGTGTGGCTTTAGCGCTGTTAGCTCGTGTGGCTTTAGCGCTGTTAGCTCGTGTGGCTTTATCGCTGTTAGCTCGTGTGGCTTTAGCGCTGTTAGCTCCTGTGGCTTTAGCGCTGTTAGCTCATGTGGCTTTAGCGCTGTTAGCTCATGTGCCTTTATCGCTGTTAGCTCATGTGGCTTTAGCGCTGTTAGCTCGTGTGGCTTTATCGCTGTTAGCTCGTGTGGCTTTAGCGCTGTTAGCTCGTGTGGCTTTATCGCTGTTAGCTCGTGTGGCTTTAGCGCTGTTAGCTCATGTGGCTTTAGCACTGTTAGCTCATGTGGCTTTAGCACTGTTAGCTCATGTGGCTTTAGCGCTGTTAGCTCATGTGGCTTTAGCGCTGTTAACTCATGTGGCTTTAGCGCTGTTAGCTCATGTGGCTTTAGCGCTGTTAACTCATGTGGCTTTAGCGCTGTTAGCTCATGTGGCTTTAGCACTGTTAGCTCATGTGGCTTTAGCGCTGTTAACTCATGTGGCTTTAGCGCTGTTAGCTCATGTGGCTTTAGCGCTGTTAGCTCGTGTGGCTTTAGCGCTGTTAGCTCATCTGATTGAGTGTGTAGAGGAACCGCAGTTGGTGAGAAACCTGGTCGGCGATGCTTTACTGTGGTGTGAGGTTACACATGTATACTCAGACTTTAAGTGTAAGCTTTAGATGAAGACATTCATAATGTTCACCAGTTGTGGTCTGACTGTGCCCATCAGGTGAACTGGTTTTTCTCTTGTGTTCGCAGGTTCCTGCTGGTCTTCTCCTGTCTGGTGTTGTCTGTGTTCTCCACCATCAGAGAATATGAGAAGAGCTCTGAGGACGCGCTTTACATCCTGGTACGTAAGATCACACTGATGATGAAGAACACATGTGGATTGTTCAGTGTCATGTTAACTGTGTGTGTGTGTGTAGGAAATCGTGACCATCGTGGTGTTCGGAGTGGAGTATATCGTGAGGATCTGGTCCGCCGGATGCTGCTGTCGCTACAGAGGATGGAGAGGAAGACTCAAATTCTCACGGAAACCTTTTTGCGTTATCGGTGAGTAAATCTGAAGTCCAGTTTGCTCTCTCTTGTGTGTGTGTGTGTGTGTGTGTGTGTGCACTTTAATGAAAACAGTTAATATGGAACTCTTATTAAACTGATCTGGCATTAACCCTCTGATGGTCTTCCTTTATGAGTCCTCAGAAGTGACCGGAGGCCTAAAAAATTAAACTTCTTCCATCCCAGTAAAACCAATGCAATTTATTTTTATTCTATAATATTTATTCTTTTTTAATTTATTATTTTGAGACAATTTGATTGAATTTATAAATATTTATGCAATATTTATGGTCTATTTTTTCAATAGAAATATGTATATTTTTCTATATATATATATATATATATATATATATATATATATTTATTTATTTTTATTATTAATGCAGTATTTTAGTTTAATATAGAGTCTAGGCCTTCAGAAAAAAAAAAAATTTTAAGGAAAATTAGCACCATCTGGTTAAGGCGTGGAATCATGTTGTAACTACTATGTACAGCTCTCTATGGAGAGGCATGTGAATTCCCCAACTGTTTATGAACACATTTTTTTGGTGGATTTGAATATATAATTGAAACAATCTTAAAAACTATTTCTTATTAAACAATTGTAAAAAATAAATAAAAAATTGTGAATTTTTTGTCAATTTCCCATTAATTTCCTATGGGGGTCATTTTTGACCAAAGACTAAAATCGTGACAAATTTTTTTACGACCACTTAGCATGCTCAGATCATGAACTCAATTTTTTTGTGTGATCACATACCTAATGCCAGAAATGTTAGTTTCGTAACATTCCAATGAAGCTGTGATTTAAAAAAATTCAAAACAGATTTTTTGTAGTCTGAATTTATTGGTGTGTATGTGTATAAAAGTGTGTTTGCATGTGTGTGTGTGTGTGTGTGTGGGTGGGTGTACATTTTTTGCACTCTTGATGTTGTAGAGTGTCAAATTTCCTATTTATTTTCTTATGGGTCGGTCATTTCTGAGCGAAGACAACGAGTGTGACTATTTTTTTTACGACCACTCAGCATGCTCGGATAATGACCTCATTTTTTTTTTTTTTGTATTCACATACAAAATGCCAAAAAAGTCACCAAGTATCATAACCTTCCGATGAAGCTGTGATTTTTAATAATTCAAAACAGAAAATGTTTCGGTCAGAAATGACTGAGGACCATCAGAGGGTTAAACATATTTATTCCAACCAATCAGAAGCAAGTATTCAGAGATAAAGAAGTGTGTGTGCCAAATGCATGTCACATTAATGTTAAATAACATTAATGTGACATGCATTTGGCACACACACTTCTTTATCTCTGAATACTTGCTTCTGATTGGTTGGAATAAATATGTTTACGAGTGTATATTCAGCGTGATCTCAGCATGATCTTCCTTCGCATCCGTTGTTGTGTTCCTCAGACATCATGGTTCTGATCGCCTCCATCTCGGTTCTGGCCGCTGGAACGCAGGGGAATGTGTTCGCCACCTCCGCCATCAGGAGTCTCCGGTTCCTGCAGATCCTGCGGATGATACGCATGGATCGCCGCGGAGGGACATGGAAACTCTTGGGATCTGTCGTCTACGCTCACAGCAAGGTAAATAATGTTCAGGAACCAGTAGGGTTGCCAAATGTCCCCAATTAGCTGGGACGTCCCGTATTTTGGGCCTGTTTTTTTTTTCTTCTCAAGTCCCGATAAAATAAAAATAAAAATAAAATAAAAATTTCTCTGAATATCCATGCCATCAGCATTGATTCTATTAACTTGCTTTATTCTTGTCATGGATTCATCAGTGCATGCTATTCCAGAGAAAAATCTAAATTTAAAACCTCGTTTTTGAGCGTCATGTGCAAAAAAAAAAAATCACATTATGCATTGTTAGTTGACTTTTTAAACAGATATTTTGAGGCCTTTTAAAGCCCTCAAAAAATGCAGCCGAAGCATGAATCAACATTACCCAAACCCAATTTCTAAACTGCAAAGTAATCACATATTTTTCAATCCTGTTTCAATCGCCCTCGAGAAAAATGGCAAATAGACCAGATATGATTTTAAGAGGTTTTCTGGTTTCGAGGCTTGCAGAGATTGAAACCACAGCAGTCGTTCTGTCATGTGTCATTCGTCAAGCCATTGTTCGAGTGTGTTTGAGAGGTCGTCCTTTGGCTCTGTGCGGCTGTTTCGAGATGTTGAATGAGACGTCCTGATGAAGTGTCGGATGGAGGTTTGCGATCGATAACACTTGGAAAGACATAAACTAGTCCTGTAAGTGCAGGGCTCGTGGCCACAGACGGAGAACTGACAGTTTCGAATTTCATCATGCAATATGTCTTTTAATCATAAGTTCGGGGTCAGATTTGAACATTTTGAGATGTTTTAATCCACTTGTCACTCCAAAAAAAAAAATGTATTTATTTTTTTCAATTGACTAAATGTACTTTATTTTAGTTTAATAATGTTTTTTTTAATTTATTTAATGTTTTGGGGATTTTTTTAGACTAAATTATATTTACGCTGTATTTATAATTCATGTATTCATTTTTTGAGCATGGGACCTGAACATTTTATTTTGAACTTAAACTAAATCCCGTAAATCTTGAATGCTTTTAAAGCACAGACTTCAGTTTGATCTCTTTGCAAAGACGACACTTGGCAGATTAATGCTGTGAAATATGTTTTAAAAAGTGTACATGAAAATGTAAGAGAATGTTTTTTTGTTGTGAAAAAAATGCACTAAAAAAACTATTTAAAATTTGCATGTGGAATATATATTTTCAAAATCTACTCTAAAACTGCAAGAAAACCATATATCTTATAGCTACTATACATCTAAACAAGTTGTGTTCCGAATTTAAGCTTGATATCTCAAAAAAAAAAGATTCAGTTCGGCTGCAGTACCAAACGCCTCCACTAGAGGAAGCTCGTCTCCCATTCATTTCATTTCCAATGTGCTCGTTTTTGGCCGCGAGGATCACACAAGTTATTCAGGATTTAACCTTTACAGTTTCATACCATTCCGACAAAGAAATAAATAAATAAAGTAAAATGTTTCACCAGAAGAGCACCAGAGGCACTAACGTTCACACGGGGAACATCGGCTGTTGTGTCGGTGATAAAAACACATTTTCTCGAACAAACGGACACATTATAAATTGCATGTTGTCAGTAAACATGCTGAAATATAAATGAGTTTTAAAGGGATTGCATGCTAGTAGGGTGACATGAGGAAAGGAAAGCCGTCTGTGAGATACCAGCATAGTTTGCTTAATAATTCATGCCGGGAATATTAAACCAAAGAGGAAAATAGGTGATGAAAACATGATGACGTAACGTTAATCCCTGGCGGCGCGTCGCCGACCAGCACAAGACAAACAATTGAGGTTAAAAAGTAATAAATGTTTATTGTTTTAAGAAAATGTTTGGCGAGATAAGACCCTGTTCCTTAGCTGGGATCGTGCAGAGCCGTTTGAAACTGCTTTGATTTGGACTTCCACTTGTTTGTTGCGATTGAAGTCCGTGGTGTGGAGAAAAATCCTGAAATGTTTCCCTCAAAAAAAATAAATAAATAATAATAATAATTTCTTTTCCACTGAAGAAAGAGAGACGTACATCTTGGATGGCAGTGGGTGAGTAAATTACCAGGAACTTTTCATTTTGAGGTGAACTCCTTTAAGCTAAAACGGCTTGTCATATTATCCATAACAAAGTGAACTCCACTCGTTTCTCCGTGGACTGGCCGTTTCCGCCCGGATGGAGCGGTGAAGTGGATCGCCTGAGGACCTGAGTCTGATTAAAGTGTGCTGTCATTCATCGAGTTGCTGTCGTGAGTTCAGTCTCAGGAGACGTCTCTCTCAAGGGCAAGAAAGTGTGTGAATGTGCTTGCGGTGCGTTTCTCGGTCTAAAACGAGTCGCAGGGGCGAAACGTCGCCGTGTCTCTCCGTGTTTAAGCGGTGTCCCGTTTCCGGCCTGCACTGAGGAGCGGGTGAAGGAGTGAACACAACACACACTGACTGACGCTGACACAGCAGAAACTGTGCCGTGGGTTTCTTCAATAGTCTCTGGTTTCTTTAGCTTGTTTCAGGGGTTCGCTTGTGTTGTGTTTTGGAGTGATTTTGATTATGATAGTACGGTGGCCGAGAGGTGCAAAACAAATCACAATTATAAAAAAAAAAAAAAAAAAAAACAAGTCTGAAAACACAACGACAATTCAGAAAACAAAATAACAATTCAGAAAACACAACAAAAACACAACACGCTGGTTTCAGTTGTTTCACTAGTTTACTTTGAACTAGGCAGCTCGGTCCAGTGGATAACTGAACGCAAGCTTAAAGGAGTTGCGTTTACTAATAGTGGTAAGAAGATTTTAATTTGAAAAGTTTTGTTCTCCATAATATCACTAAATTAGCCGGCTAAATAGACAGCTAATATTTACACATACACATGCGAATCAATCTTTCTTCTGCCGCAGGCGCAGTCTGCTGTACTTTCTGTATGTCTTGATTGACAGATGTCTCGTCCAATCAGCGATCAGTATTCCATTCGCCACATATACCTACCTTTTCCGTTTTATCTGACTTGTCGTTGTGTTTTCTGACTTGTTAATTTGTTTTCAGATTTGTCGTTGTGTTTTCTGACTTGTTAATTTGTTTTCAGATTTGTTGTGTTTTCTGAATTGTTATTTTGTTTTCTGAATTGTCCTTGTGTTTTGACTTGTTTTTTTGTTTTCATAATTGTGATTTGTTTTGCACCTCTCGGCCACTGTAGTTTGAGCATAAACAACATCCGCAAAGTTACAGAGATATTTAAGGGAGATATTTACTTTTAAACACAAATGGCGTTTTAAGGACTACAACTGTCCGGTTAGTGACATCACACACCCTAGAATTTCCATAAACCCCGCCCCCGGGAACGCGATTTATAGATGATCATGACAGAATATGCTAATCAATGACTAGAAAATAGACACTGCTACCTAAATTCATTAACTATTCATTCAGAGATTTCCTGTTGTCACTTAATTAAACATGGACATTTTCTGTACATTTGTGTGTGAGGTAAAAGGACACAAGCTGTTCTCGCTGAGATTTCGACTTGAAAAATTCTCTTTTCATATTTATTTATTTTTTTTACCAACGTTTTGATAAATAATATGAAAAATCCAACGTTTTGATAAAAAAAATCCAATTTATATGCAAATGAACTCCGCCAGCTCATTTGCATTTAAAGGGACAGACACAAAAGCGGTGTGTTTGCTCACCCTCAAAAAGTGACAACTTTAACATGCTATATAAAAATATCTGTTGGTTATTTTGGGCTAAAACCTCACACACACAGTCTGGAGACATCCGAGATTTATGTGGAAAGGACATTATACCACCCCTTTAAAGTGCTTTTTCAATGATTATCTTTTATGTATGTAATACAGCTGATTGTGAATGTAAAAGGTCTGTTAAGTTTCAATATTGGAATTGCAAATAAATGTTATTGTCTCTTAAAAGAAAGAAACGAGTCGCTAGTAATTCCAGTCTCAGTTCCTGTACGAACCTACGGTTTGAAACAAATTTGCATAATGTCAGTCTAAGGGTACTTTTACACAACAATGATCTGCTTAAAACAGAAGTTTTTCTATAGACGACACCATTGTCAAAACGAAACCCATTTACACAGATCCACGAAAACAACTAAAAACGCTATACTATATAACGCGTAATACACATGTGCATGACGTCATCGTCTTCAGAGATTCACGTTTTTGTTGTTTACCATTTTCAAAAACCTCCACTTGCGTTTGCGTTTACATGCACCCAAAACGCCATTTACGTGTGAATTAACCGCCTAAACGCAAAAAAGTGTTGTGTTTTTGCTGAAAACGACGGTGTCGTGTAAACAGCCTCTAAGGTTTTCATTGGCTGCTGCAAATGACAGAGGCCTGGAAGAGTTTGGTTCACGTTGTTCATTTCGACCAATCACAATAGACTGGCCCGTCTGACCAATGAGAGCAGAGCAGCTCTCAGAGAGGCGGGGTTTAGAGAGACTGAATCTTCAAACGAACCGTTTCAGGCACTGCGAGAAAGAGCTGGAATAGCATAATAATAGGACACTTTAGTGAAAAAATAGACTTTCAGTTTTCGAACTACTAGGAAAAGTTTCTGCTTATCTGTCAGCGGCGTTAAATTGTTGAATAAATTAAATAATGAGTTAAAGCAACGTCCAAACACACTCCATTATAAAAAAGATGTGCAAAGAAATTATATTCCCGAGGTACAAAGAAACACAGTGCTAATAATAATATTGAATCATTTCTAGCATGTGTATAAATATTGTTGTGTATGTGTAATATATGTATTTGAAAATATGTATATTTTCATTGATTATAGATCTATTTTGTAGCCATTTCCTTAAATATAGTAGTAAGGGTATGAAGGAAAACACACGTTTTACTTCTTCCTACTCCTTTTTGTACATGTAAAGTTATTATAGAGTATATATCATAGATTATAGAGTTTTATTTTGCTGTTTTTTTACCATTATTTTTTTCTTCTTGTATTTACATGTTCAAAATAAAGATATCAATCACTCAATCAAAATACTATAATATTATACATAATAGGGGCTCTTTTTATTATGCACCATCAATCATTTAAATATGCATGGAGTTTGACACTTGATTTTGATGTGTGCTGATCCTGTGCATGTATGCGCCCTCGCAGGAGCTGATCACAGCCTGGTACATCGGCTTCTTGTGTCTGATCCTGGCCTCGTTCCTGGTGTACCTCGCGGAGAAGGAGGATAATGAGATGTTCGAGACCTACGCCGATGCGCTCTGGTGGGGTCTGGTGAGCACTTAACAAACACACTTGAAGTAATGGAGCGTGTCCGCAGATCAACATAATGTGCTCTGAGGTGGATATTGTTCCAGATTGGATTCCCTGGATAACTCGCTACACTGATAAACACAATTTGTTTTCTTGCACTCGAGTTACTGTAAATGTTCTGGTGCATCTGGTGCATAAGCGCTTCTGCATTGCAGTGTGTCATATTTTCAGCTTCATTATATGTTAACACTCAGCGTAGTTTCTGTATGTAAGACTGCAGTTGCTCTCGGGACGCCGGCGAGTGCCAGTGAAGCGCTGGCGTGAATCCTCTGGAAATAAACCCAAGGACATCAGATAGACTAACAGCTGAAGTTCACACACACACGTCTGGGAGG